CTGCCAACCAATTTCCAGGGCTGGAAGTCTGGGAGCTAGAGGATGAATCAGTCTTGTGGAGGAATCTTAAAACTGGAGAGCCTTTCTGACATGTAGTCACCGTTACGATGCAGACTGTTTTCACAGAGGGTAGGCTCTATTTGGTCTGCCACAAGGAGAAGGAATAAGCAAGAAAATGCTGATTTCTCCCTGTTATTGGTTGTGTCATGCTTACAGCATGGGAGGTGGATGGCACAGAGCAGCATCTCTCCAGATGCCGCCTTCCTCCACGGAGCCCCCTGCTGAGACTCACTGGCAGTCCTGTGAGATGGAGATTTTATCCTGTGTCCTGGCCAGCTTCCATCTGGCCAAAGGCATTTTATCTAAATATTTCCATGGTGCCTATCTCTGCAGTATTGAAGTGCTCAATTAGATATGGCCCAAGTCTTTGTAGCATATCAGTGTGCACTGCTGAACAGCTGCTGCATTCCAACAGAGGGTGAAGTCATCTCTATATATAGAGCGTGGCAAGCTGTTTGGAACAGTGGCAGATTTAAGCAGGCAAATGCACACCTGAGTTATAAGTCAGTCACCTGCCACAGTGACAGAGGGTCTGGAAAAATTTCTACTTCCTTAAGGAGTAAGTGGCAAGGAGGCCACAGGGTCTTTTTCAGCTTTTTTTTTTTTTTTTTTAATATGGCTCACAGCCTCTCCCAAGTATATTTTTCTGTCAGTTCCACAAATAGTGAAAATAACTCTCTACAAAAGTGACTTTATTTTCTTCCATGATTTTCTCTTACAACTTGTGGTTTGTTTATTGATAAGAAGTTCACCGTATTTTAGCCAATTTCCAGGGCACTGTCATTTATTAAATATGATTGTTGGAGTTAAGTGATTGTGCACTTATCCATTTAATGCCTGCCTTCCTGTTACATTGTAAGCCCCTTGCTCCTGGAATATAGTATGTGAAAAATATGTAAATATTGCATGTTATGAGAGTTCATAATCCCTTATGGAGTATGATGCCCTGGTCCCCACCAAAAGGCCATAATTATTGTTCCTTCCAAAGTGATCTGGAAAAGATATAGACACCCATTACCTAAATTCTTGGGTTGGTTCTCAGTGGGCTATAGCTGCCAGTGAGGTGATTGACGTCTGGCACTAGAAAGATCCCGGGAGATTATCTAGATCTCTTTCTTGTTGTATTAAAGATAGGTTGCTTTGACTTGGAGACAAGTACAGGATGAACAGCTCATTGTGCAGAGATGCCTGGGCACAGAAACAAGGTGGATTTGGCATTGGAGGTTCTGAAGTTCCATCCTGGCTCAACCACTTACTAACTATACTACTCTGGGAAAGTCACGGAATTCTGACAGGCCTCAGTTTCCTATCTCACAAATGGAAACAATAATCTTCACCCTGCTTCCCTCACAGGGCTGTAGGGAGGATCTCCTGCAGGAATGTGTCTGAAAATTCTATGCAAATTATGCCACTTTTAGACACGAAAGGCGTATTCTTATTTTTGTCATCCCTTTCTTATCTGACAGCAAGGGTCAGATAGCCACACGAGCATCCCACCTCTGGCCACCTGGAAGCAACAGTTCCTGTTTTAGCATCTCTCCCTTTAGTGATTAATGGTGCATCAAGTGGGCAGGCAGCTGAGAGAGATATTCGGGGGAGTCTGCTTCCTGGCTTCTTTCTTTTTTTTCTTTCAATTATTTTACTGAAAGCATAAAGGTTTATAACATTGTATAATTTCGGGTGTCATTATTATTTACCAATTTCTATATAGACTGTATTGTGCTCACCACCAGCAGTCTAATTTTTATCCGTCACCATACATATGTGCCCCTTTACTGCTTTTGCCCACCCCCGTCCCTTTTCGCCACTGGTAACCACTAATCTGTTCTCTTTATCCATGTGTTTGTTTATCTTCCACATATGAGTGAAGTCATGCAGTATTTGTCTTTCTCTGGCTTATTTCACTTAACTTCATACCCTCAAGGTCCATCCATGTTGTTGCAAATGAGAAGATTTTGTCTTTTTTACGGCTGAGTAATATTCCATTACATATATGCCACATCTTCTTGATCCATTCATCCATAGCAGGGCACCTGGGTTACTTCCATGTCTTGGCTATTGTGAATAATGCTGCAATGAACCTAGGGATGCATAAGTCTCTTTGGATTGTTGATTCCAAGTTATTTGGATAAAAACCTTGATATTTCAAATCACCTGAACAGATAGCCATTGTGACTTCCTCTCAGCTCTCTTTACTCTGCCCCTCAGTATGTAGTGATTCCACCTCATTTCAAGGAACCAGAGGCCACTGAAGGTCAAATAGTGAGTGCCTAAATGAGGAACACCAGAAGAGAGCATTTCATTTATGGTCAATGCTCTCCTTATCCCACAACTCTGTTATCAGCTATTAAAGCCAGAGAATGTCTGTAGGAAGATAAATTACTTCCTGGGGATAGAGGTTGTCTTTGCTATCAGAACTCACATCCCTGGGTGATGAATTTATAAAGTGAACCCTGACTTCTGTGAGGCAAGCGAGATGCAAGCTGTTGTCTAGGGCTGACTTGTGGGACACACCTAGCTTTTCACTGATCAGTCATTAAACAGCATCACAGTGATATAAGCTCATGCTACCAGGAATGTGAACCAAAGAGCCCAGAGCTAAGAAGTCTTCCCTGGATGAACGACTTCCTTAAATATGTTATAAAATTCTGCTGTGGGTCATGAAACTCTGTTCTCAGTGTAGAGAATAACCCAAAGTAGGTAAATGCCTTGCTGGTGCTAATACTTCTCTTTTTAAGTTCCCTAAAGGCATCGATGACAGCATATAAGTCCTCCCTGTTTCTTAATTTTTCTTTTGCTCATGTCTGTCCCTATTCAGCCTGTGTTGGTCCTTCCAAGTCACCCAAATTGCTGTCCTGACAGCCAGCTTCTCATAAGCAGGAGGGGGAGGAATTGAGCTGATTACCTATTAACTTCAGCCTAAATTAAATACATTTCCATATTGCTTTAAAATTCATAGCTCTCTCTTATGCATCCCCCCTGGGTTTCCATGCTCTCTCTATAAAAAGGCAATGTGACAAATTCCTTTGCCAAGGCTTGGATGTTGGGAACTCAGAGTTTTTATTTAATCATCGTGCTGAGTTCCTGTCTGGCCTTGGATATGCTATTTTACATTTCAAATATTCCATCTGTAAAGGCAGAATGATAATTCTTCCTCATCTCTCAGGGAGTTAGAAGATGTTGGGTTATTTAGTGTTTTAAAGAGCTTCAGAGACACTAAGCGCTAAACAACTAGTGTTATTAGACTCTCACCGAACCGGTTAGTGATACTGTGAAAAGTTGAAGCTGAGACATCGGCCAGTTGACCTGTTTTGGCATCAGATCTCTTAGGGTTTCTCTTTCCATAGCACTCACTGAGTGATGAAGCTCTGCACGTCTAGTAATAAAAGGAATCTGGGTCATTAACTTGGATTGTCAAAATAGTGCAGTTCTTTATTCCTTGTCCTATTTTATTTTATGAGAACACGATTCTAAACCGTCATATCAGTAGTGATTCCATTATATAATAAACATGCCTCGAAAGGACTATTTTGTCATGAAATGTGCTTTATCTTAAGATGATAGCTGGTGGTTGGGGTAAAAGGATTCCTTGCCAACGCAAACTTTTGAAAGCAAACTGTGATTATCTTCGAGGTTTACCATTTTTGTGCTTCTGACTGAGTCTCTGAGATTTGGGGGACCTCCTCCTCAATTTAGATACTGTTTACATAGATTATTTCATTTGTTGTCCAAATATATATTGAATCTCCATAATGAGTCAGATCTAGTATAGGGTAGGACGCAAGTATAAATATCTATCATACACATTGCCTCTAGCATGGATGACTTTATAATGTTGGGGAAGCACAGACATTTAGTGATAATTAAAATGCAAGGTGAGATATAAGCAAGGTAGCATATGAATACAAATTGGACTAACTATTGCCTTAGAGAGTCAGAAAAGATTTCTCAGACATTGGAGACATTTCAATCGGGACTTTAAAAGAAGAATATTTTGCCAGGTATGGAAAAAGGATAAGAAACGGAAGCGTATTCTTTGTAGAGGGGGTAGCAAGTGCACTGATTCACCATTTTGTGACAGGAAATGAGAAAGTGGGGATAGATTTACCTACTGAGTTCCACTTAGACCTTCTGGAAGAGGATATTTTACCTTTCTTGATCACAAATTAACGTCTCTTGAAAGGAAGAGTTCCTCTTTTGCAAGTGCCCCGCAACACAAAGTTTACTTGACTTCTCATACAGCTTATATGGGTGTGGGGAGAAAAAGAGTCCATTGAGGGCCACATTCCTCACAATGATCCCGAATTGCTCTCCCTCACCCCTGTGCCTCCCAGTGATGACTGGAATCACAGAAACCCTCTTCACCGTGAATGATGCTCCTCAGCCAGCCCACTCTACTGTAGCTTAAAGATCACGTGTTAATGCAGGTTTCAGGGAGCCACAGAGGTCTTGGGGAGCACCTGTAGTCAACCCTTTAGGGTGGAGGATATGGGAGAGCTGCCAAGTACCATAACATTATGTGATTCCCTTGAGACTTCATTAGTCTCCAAGGGCCAGATATTGCAGAGGTTGTTCAGGCAGCCTCCTGCTACTTAAAGGGGTCATAACATTGTAAATATAAATTAGCATTTCATCGCATTCAGTTTATTTTTATTGTACTTACTATGCCAGGTACTGTACCAGATATTTTCATATATTATCTCATTTCTATGTATTATTTACAACAACCCATTATGGTTCAGTATTCTATTGACCTTAGATCTTTATGAATTCTTAAAAACCATAGATTTTATGTTTAATTTTCTCCTCCTTCTTGGGAGTATTAGGAATAGAGACTTTTCAAAGTGGCATTATCTGCCTACTTAGCAGTTGGAGTTGGTGTAGAATCCTATAGAATTCTCCATAGACCCCTCAAATCTGTCCCTTCTTTGACTTTCTAGAGCATTTTAACATGTCCCAGAGGATCAGTTTGTTGTTGCTGTCATTAAGAGCTTCTTGATTTTACAATACGACTGTAAGCTGCTTGAGTGCGATCACTTCACCTTCTATTGCCCATAGTGCCTAACCAGGCACCTAGGAAGTATGCTGATTTCAGGGTTTTCAACATGACTTTGAAGCTACATCACAGGAACCGTACATCAGGCTGTCAGGTAGGCTCAAATGATGGTGAGGCTGAGTGGTGCAAAACCCTTAAGTGTATTAGTTTTCTATGCTGCATAGCAAATTACTACAACCTTAGTGGCTTAAAACAACATACATATCTTATCTCCCAGCTTCCGTGGGTCAGAAGTCACTCATGGCTGAGCTAGAAGCTCTACTTGGGATCTTCTTCTTCTTCTTTTTCTTTTTTTTTTGGTGAGGAAGATTGCCCCTGAACTAACATCTGTGTCAATCTTACTCTATTTTGTATGTGGGATGCCATCACAGGGTGGCTTGACAAGCAGTGCATAGGTCTGCACCCAGGATCTCAACCCACGAACCCTGGGCTGCTGAAGCCAAGCAAGAGAACTTAACCACTACACCACCAGGCCGGTCCCTCTACTTGGGATCTTACAAGGCTACAATAAAAGTATCAGCTAGACTGTCTTTGTTTCAGAAGCTTAGGGTCCTCTTCCAAGCTCACTTGGTTATTGGCAGAATTCAATTCCTTATGGTTGTAGGACTGAAGTACTCATTTCCTTGCTGGCTGCTGGCTGGAGGCTGCTCTCAGTTCCTAGAGGCAGCCCAAAATTCCTTGCCATGGCCTTTCACAGGCCCTCCCATGACATGGCATCTTACTTCTTTAAAGCCAGGAAGAGAATCTCTTTCACCCGTCTGCCAAGAGGGAGTTGTATATATTGTAACGTAATCATGGGAATGACTATCCTCTCACTTTTACCATATCCCATTGGCTAGATGAAAGTCACGGATTTCTTCTCCACTCAAGGGGAGGGATTTATATAAGAGCATGTACTGTGAGGGTTTTCTTAGGGTATGTCCAACCACATTAAGGGTGAGATCTAGAGTGATGCTTATATCCATCTAATGAGCAGATGTCCCTAATTCCCACTTATCTGGCCTTGATTAATGGTTAATAGAGTAACAGTTGTGCTAATACTTGTGTAGACTTGGTGCCAGAAGAGACAAGGACATCCATGCTTAGGTAGATGACTCAAAAGGAGTGTATACGGGTTCAGAGTGATTGAGTCGGGGTAGAAGTCCCTAGTCATGAATATACTACAGAAGCATCACTCGCAAGTCTGAAAATAACATACATCATGCAAGTTAGCTATTATATCACAGGTCAGAACCATTGGAATTAAAAAAATAAAAAGATCTTGGTGGGCTGAGTATAAACCAAAACCAAAGATACAAATTAACAGGAATATGAAACATCCACATATGCATATTTAGCATGCTCCCCAATTCTCACCATTAATGCCAACACTAGCCACCATGAAAGAGTATTAAAAAAATAGAGAGAGAAGATTAATCTTTGGAGGAAAAACTGGTGCCAAATATGTGAATGGTATTATATGTCATTTGATAAATAAAACTACAGTGGCCAGATAAAGAATAATAAGAATCTCTCTGATATCTGTTCTGATCACACTCCATCTGGAACACTCTGCTGGGAACAGTGCAAAGAAACCACATTTCAGGAGGAACAAACCTAGCCTCCAGCGTTGGAGATATAGTACATACATAGGCCATTAGTGGACGTTGATGTGGAAAACTCGTCTGTGAAAAGTGCCTAAGAGAAATTAGGCCACGTTGTGTGAAAATTACAGATGATATAAAGTATCTGAAAGCTGTCGTGTAAGGAAGGGGATGGTTTATTTGGAGCAAGACCAGTGGGAACCGATCAGGGAGGCTGCTTTTTAGGTGGGAGTGCTTCATGCTGAGGGAAAGTTTTGGAGACTGGTGGAAGAGGAATTACTGGCATTGGGAGAGAGGTCTGTTTTTTTTGACACCAAGGTTTTCTGATTTTATGAGAATGAAAGGCCCTGAGAGATAATGCTATAGAAGCAGATGAATGGAACAAGCTTGGATCTCCCAGAGAAAGAAAAGAGGATGAAGAAACTTTTAGAATAGGGAGAAATATAGTCCCGAAGCAGAGAAAATAGGGCTGAATGGAAGAAACACCTCAAGACCAAGTTGTCTCAAGGAATCAGTTCAGAAAGCAGACACTTATCCAGAGAAACTGTAGCCAGGTTGAAGATGGTTTCGTGCACAGAATCCAAAAAACTACCAATGATGCTTAGATCAGCTATCTTTAAGAAAAACATCTGTAACCAAGAAATGAATAATGGATCTTTCTTTACTAGAGACTACAGTTGCTGGGAGAAACAGCTTTCAGATGGGTAGTAGAGGAAAGTAGGAAGGAGTTAACAATGATTGTAAAACCTAGACCTCCAGGTACTTAGATAATTTGTGCACAGCTTGTACGCCAAATTTTCCTAAATTGTTATAAGATGGCCTGTTCACGTTAAAGAATTAATTGATTATGTTTTGCAGGAACGGCCACTGAGGAGTGAGCAACAGGACCCTGTTCCAGGATTTTGAAAGTGTCCGCTGGTCACCTGTCTGGTGGGAATGGGCGAGAACCAGCTAGAGAATCTTGTGGTTGGTGACTTTCCTTGGAGGATTTTCTCTGTGATTTCCTGGAACCATGGAAAAGTAGCTAACTTTATTTATGTGCCAAAATAAAAGACAAGGTCCTCCTATGCTTTATTTACTTAATCTGGGTTATATGCCTTTTCAATTTGCCCCATAGCACCTGTGCCTATATGTATGACAGCTTTTTATCACATTAGATTGTTCAATTGTCTGCCTTTTTCCCTCTCCTGAGAGCTCCTTGAGGGCAAGAAATATGTCATTTTATCTCTAGCTCCAGCATTTACCGTATATTTGATGGACATTAAATGTTTTCTAAATGGATGGATATTGTCAGCACATTAGAATTATGTAAATCCAGCTCCTTCAAGTCCTGAAGCTCCTATCACAATACTCAATAAAGAGAATTTCCTACTCTGATCAGAAAGTATGTTAGAGACATAGAATCCCAGAAACACAGTAGGAATTTACATCCAGAGTTAAAGATGAAGTTAACAAAAATCTTTAAAATATCAGAAATTTAGAAAACTTAACAGAAAGATCATTAATTTGTTCAACATATGCCAGATACTCTACTGGATCCTAGGGGTTTAAGATGCATAGCACCATACCCCTCCCCATCTAGAGGGAGAGATAAATATGCAAGCAGATAGCTCCAATATAGTAAGTACCATATCACTATAGATTGTACACAGTGTTGTTTGAATAAAGAAGAAAGAACAATTAGGTAAGGCTTCACAGAGTTGCTAATAAAATCATCCCATAACAGAAGGAGGAAGAACCTTTTATGTGAAGCTGAGAACATGCAAGAGAACAGAGGCGTGAAAGATCATGGAGTGCTTGGCAATCAGAACTAGTTCATTATCGTTGGGAGACCACAGGGTCTGCGTGGAAGAGGGGGAGGTCAGGAAAGCGGCGAGGACTAGCCTCTGAGTGGTTTTTCTTCCATTCTAAGGTGTTTGGATCAGGATAGGGAAGAAAGAGGCTTATGACAGTTTGGGAATCAACAAAGATTTTCATTTTATTTAACAGATTTTGGGGGGTATAATTAATACACAAAAACCTGCATATATTTAATGTATACATTTTGATGTGTTTGGATATATGCACGCACCCATGAAACCATCACATTAGTCAATAAATAAAATAAATCAGTCAATAAACCATCATCGCCAAGTTTCCCTGAACCCCTTCAGTTTTTCTTTTGGTTTTGTTCGTTTGTTTTGTGACAAGAGAACTTAACATGAGATCTACCCCCTTAACAAATGTTTTAACAGCACAACACACTATTATTAACTACAGACGCCGTGTTGTACAGCAATCTCTAGTACTTATTCATCTTGCATAACTGAAACTTTATAACCATTGAACAACACCTCCCCATTTCCTCCTTTCTCCAGCCCAAAATTCTACTCTGTGCTTCTATGAGTTTGACTATTTTAACTACTTCATGTAAGTGGAGTCATGCAATGTTTATCCTTCTCCAACTGGTTTATTTCACTTAGCACCCTGTCCTCTAAGTTCATCATGTTGTCACATATGGCAGAATTTCCTTCTTTTTTAAGGTGGAATAATATTCTATTGTATGTAAATACCACATTTTCTTTATCCATTTATCCACTGATGGATATTTAGGTTGTTTCCATATATATTAGGTAGTTTCCATATATATTGTTTCCATAATATATTCATATATATATTTCCATCTGTTGTTTCCATATATTGCAGAATAATTCTGCAATGAACATGGGAGTGCAGGGGGAAGATATTTCCAAATCGTATGTCTGATAAGGAGTTAATATCCAAAATATAAGAAACTCCTACAACTCAATAGCAATAAAAACAAATAACCTGATTTAAAAAATGGGCAAACAACTTGAATAGACATTTTTCCAAAGAAGACATACAAATGGCCAACAGATATATGCAAAAATGTTCAACATTACTGATTATCAGGGAAATGAAAATCCAAACCACAATAAAATATCACCTCACACTTGTTGGAATGGCTGTTACAAAAGAAAAAAAGGTAACAAGAGTTAGCCAGGATGTGGAGAAACTGGAACTCTTGTTCACTGTTGGTGGGAATGTAAAATGGTACAGCTGCTATGGAAAACAGTATGGAGGTTCCTCAAAAAATTTAAAAGAGAAATACCATATGATCCATCAATTCCACTTCTGGATATATATCCAAAGCAATTGAAACCAGGATCTTGAAGAGATAACAAAGACCATTTTAATAGAAGTACATTGTAGCTGCTGCTCCTTAAGTCCTTTGAAAGTTTGTATTTATATTCCTTAGACAATTAAGCAAACCTTGTTCCACTTTTTATATAGAACCTGTTGGTGCTAATTTGGATAACAGAGCCAGAGGCTGGGATGACTTTGAGAAAACTATGGAAATAACTATTTTTCTATGTTCCTCTGTCCTTGCACTCAACCTCTCCACCCTGACCTTGCCTGACGTGGGGAACCCTGAAGTTCTATTCCTCTTCCTGTTGATAATACTGATTTTTGAGCACCTATATCCTGGACCTCTAACTTGAGTTATCTCATTTATTTCTCACATTATTCGCTAAGATGGATTTTATTATTTGAGTCTCCTTTAGGAGTTTAGGAGATGTCAAATCCAGAGAAGACGAAACACATCCCAAGGAGATAGCCCAGGAGCCAAGGACCCGAAGTCAAAACAGGAAACAAGGATGACTGAATCCAAAGAGCTTCAGAAATAGAAAGGAAGGATTCAGAACCTGAAGAAAGGAGGCACGCTCCAGGTTCTCGTGGAGAGCAAAGGAAAATGACTCTGGGTGATTGCATGTGATTTGCTTTACTTTTATGTCCCAACTGGGGTACCGTAAGAGACAGAGTCAGGTGTAGGTAGGCATAATTTGAAAGAATGTATGGATACATCTGAATCATGGGTAAAGGTGAAGCTTTTAAATTTTTCAACGCTTTACAATTTTCATTTTAGGAGGGGAAATTTAAGCTCAAGCTATAAAGCTCTAATTATTAAATTATGTCGATCTGTGAGCAGAAGCTTGAGGAGGCTTGAAGTGGTTGGAGGGAGGAACAGCATATTCTGGGAGTCACTAAATCATATCTGACCCGGGCAAATGTCTTTGTCTGTCACAGGGGTCCACAAACCAGGCCAGCAGGCCAAATCCAACTCATGACCTTTCTATAAAGCAAGCTTAAAATACTGTCTGGACCTTTACAGGAAAGGTTTGTTATTCTCTGGTCTCCAAGAGAGGCCCCTGTGGAGATGGCCTGGTTTATCCCTCAGCCCCACACAGCCTGACTTGGTAGAGGCCTTTCCGTTCCAGGGCTGGTTCTGCTCTCAGCCTTGCTCCCCAGCATTGTCCCACAGCCTGTAGAACAAATCAGCAGACTCCTACCTACTCTTAATGGATTGTGACATGAAAACCACGTTTTGAGGCCGTTTCCAGAAGTCCCTGCAGAATTAGACAGCCCGTGGAGACGATCCTTTCGTGTTGTGAGGTGGTGCTTTGCCAACGCTTTAGAAGTTTTAATTGCTGATGCATTTTCTTAGAGATAAACAGTTGCTGGTGCTGTCAGTCTGTCTCCTTTCACGAGCATTAAAATCATGAAGAATTCATAGGAAGCTGCTGTAAGTGTCACACATTTTTGAAAGAAAGCTTTTTAATCAATTTTTTAAAATAATGTGTACAAATCAAAACTCATAAGATTTACATAATATCTTCCTTCATCGATACCAAGAGCACAATTATTGATGCTCAGTTACTTCAGTTTTGAAGTGCTAGAGTCTATAGTGATAAATACCAATAGTTCAGAAACCAAAGAGAATTTTACACTTTATTTTACACTTTGGTTTCTCATTTTACATTTATTGTAATAATAATAACGATAATAACAGTATTATCATCACCCTACATTTCTATGAAAATTCACAGCTTTTCATGCATCTTCATATTTACAATTCATCTAATCCGCATAATTACCCTATGAGCTGTGAATGGCGCAGCTGGTGTTAAATTTATTTCCTAACTAAAGGAAACTATACTTAGCAAGATTAAGTAAATAGTGGAAGGTGATCCACCCAGATAATGGCAGAACAAGGACAAGAATAAAATTATTTGGGCTTCTGCCCTGTGTTACTTCTACTATGCCAATGTAACACTTGCCTAATATGATGAAGAATTTTAATGTTTATAATTATAAAGTTGTAATGATTAAAAAGACATAATAGTTAAAAAGTAATTTAAAAAATCTCTTAACTGATAGCTATTACTACTATTAATGATCACTTTCCTGATTTTGAGCAAAATCTATAGGTCTCCAAGATAAATAATAGATTCTAAAAATGTTCCATGTAGATTGATTTCAATTATTTGTCCCTGGTAAATAATTTTCCTTCTTTCATTCCAATTCTTCAAAAGATAGAAAAACAAGCCTTTTATTACTTCCCTGGCTAGATTGCTCATGGTCTAGTCATCTTTCTCACAATCACCTAAGGCCATGATCCTGGATTAAGAGATTCCTTTCCAATAAACTTCAAAAACAGTTTTCAAATCCTGTCAAATTCCTTTGGAATTTGTTTTTGAGTTGACTGCTCTGTTCTTTGTTTAATGGAAAAAGCAAACGTATCATTATCAGGATGTATCAAAATCAACTCAAAAATCAACCCAAAAGTTAAAACTGAAAAAAATGTATTATTATTTGAAAGACTGTCCACAGTGAATTAAAAATATTTTTCATAAAATATTCTAGTAATTAATTGGTATTCAACAAAAGATACATTTTAAAGGTGAAAAAAAGCTGTACTTTATTGTATCTCAACTTAGTAGTGAAACTTTTAAATGAAAGGTTAATATGCTGGCTGCAAAAATAAAAACGTCACATTTCAATTGTACATTAAAAACAAAAGAAAAAAGAACAGCCCGGGAACACGTAAGAGAAAGGGCAAAGCATTTACAAGTGAGGCATTTCATGTAGTACTGATTTTAGACAAAAGAATAAGTTCCGTCATTAAAAGAACATAATGAATACTAGTTTACACATTCAGGAATATGCTCTGTGGGTGAGTTTTAAGGGAAATGAGGTCATAAACTCAATCCCGACTTAAGCTTACCTTGCTCTGTTTCATG